AATTTTTACGATCGCAAATATTTGTAATTTTCAATATAAAATTCTAATTTGTCTTCTATCTGATTCTTACTATGTTACTTACTAGTGGGCAAAGGTCATTTCCCGCCAATAAATAAGATTAGTCTTCAGTACCAATAAAACAGATTTTATTATTTATTTATTAATGCAATCCATGTTTTTAATCCGAGAATAAAATTAAATTCTTATTTATTTCCCGCCAAAACTTATACATTTTACACGTGTCTACATATGAAAAAACAATAAAGATAATATATAATTTGAATTGTTCGAATTTTAATTTTTAATATAAATATTATTTATTAGATTCCAAAAATGCCATTAGAAATCATTTAAATTAATCGAAAATGCTTTTTTTTTTTTTATCTTTTAAAAAAAAAAAAGTTACCTGGAAGTGAGAATAACGTTATAAAAACTATATCGGTTAATTTCAATTATACAGTATATTCGATAATAATCATCGAACAAGGTATTGAGTTGTAAAATGAATTTATCCAGAGGTATGGTATGTGTCATTTTCTTTTATAAAAAAAGGAACGACATTCTTGAGTTTTAGACCGGTGATAATAATATATGATTTATGTCAGCAGAAGAGGGTCGTAAATAATTAAGCAGAAAGGTTGGAACTTTTACTCAAACATGAACTACACCGCTTATCCTTGCCCGTCAACACATCTAATCTCATCAATGCCATGCGTATTGCTTTAATTTACCGGATAGGATGAAACACGTCTTTCATTATTTGGGAGGTCATAAGTTCATTATTATTTAAGTTGTTGATTTAATTTTGGAAATATTATAACTAGATTTTATATTTGTGATTCCTTTCAAGGTAATTGCTTATTAATAAAGATCATTTTGACAATGAAAAAAAAGGCAAACTCTAAAGAGAATTCTTCTAGAAAGAGCAGATTGAATGGGTTTTCATCAGAAGTTTTATATTAATAAATGATAGACCCTGCATACCATTACATAAAACAAACAATCAATCATTGTTATGATTCCATAAGATACGCCCATTGCATCAATGTTGTGAATGTGGAGATCACGGCCCTTTGACGCAAATCTCAAAACGAAAATTCATTCAACCTAAGCATTTGAAAGAATTTCCGCAGGTATATTCAACGGCACCTTTGACCATAGCAAAATGAAAAGTGAAAATATAAATATTAGCATTAGAGTGTTATGAAAATTTCAAGATCTACTTTTATTTAAAGAAAGACATAAGCATTTACTCATCTTAAATCTTTTACCCTTTTTTTTAAAAAAAAAGGTATTGGCGCAGTCATTTCTGTCATCAATGAAAAATATTTTCCGAGTTCAACTTGGAGATCAAAGTCGACACTCCACCCTAAAGTGTCGTAGATCCGGGAACGACCGGCATTATAATGATCGACATGTGAATTTCAAAAAAACAATTTTTTTTTAATTTTATTTTTTCGTATTTATGATCCACTTTAGTCTAAATAAATATATTAATACTTGATAAGACTAGTATGACTAATTGCTAAATTTTGCAAAAAAAAAAAAAAAAAAAAAAAAAATTTTAAAAAAAAAAAAGTACGTGCGTGATGTGCATAGTTTTTACAAATGGATGATTATTATATTGTTCTTCATGACTCAAGAATTCGGAAATCTTAAAAGAAAGAAAGGATTTGATCCATGTGATAATTTTTTCTGCTTAAAAAAAAAAATATTTTGTCATAACCATTGTTTTTAAATCGAAATTTAAAAATAATGTACAATAGCTTAATTTAATGCACAATAGAGTTTTACATTTGATATTGATAGCCTTACATATTTTTTTCCCAAAATTTTAAATCGTGTTTAATACTTGCTTATATTTTTATATTTTGGAAATTGCGCCAACCTTTTTTTTTTTTCTCTCTTTTTTTTTTTTTTTTCTTTTTTTTTTCTTCCCCCTTCGTTTTTTTTTTTTTTCTTTTTTTTTTTCAGGTTTTGGTGTACAGTTTCATTGTTTACGATCTTATATTGCACGTGTTTCATTGTTGTGTTCCATTATTGATAATCGTCCTAATAAAAAAAAAAAAAAAGAGATGATAACAAACAGTTTCTAATGTAAAAAAAAAAAACGATTTGTTTATGCTAAATATAAAGGACCATTCGTTTCCTTACAAAAATTACACCGTTTTTTTTTCCTTCCCCTCTTTTTTTAAAATAATAACAAAGCGCAAAATTTTGCTCTTTATCACTTTGATTATTTGTTTCGTTGCAAAACCAATTTTTTTTTTTTGATATAAAATTATCAAAATGACGATATTCGATCCAAAAGTATGTTTCCTCAAGATAATAAATATATATAAAAAAAAAAATTTTTGTTTTAACTTGGTACTTTTTTGATTTTTTACAGACTGATGCTGTCATTATAAAATTTATGTTGGAAGAGGGTCGTAAGCATAAAAAACCGTTTTCGGAACTAAGTAAAAAGATTAAATTTTCAACCAAACAAATCTGTCATCGGTAATTACCAAACTAATATCTTTATCTCGTGATAATTTACCTAAATCATCAATCATAACTTATTTTATAATTTTTTAGCTGGAATGAACAAGTGGACCCCCGAAGTACGTAAATTTAAATCTTTTTTCATTCCCTTTCTTTTTTTTTATTTTAAATTAAAATTTTATGTCTTCTTCTTGAATAGTTGAACGTGGACCTTTGTGCGATAAGGAAAAAGAGTTTATTAATCAATGGGTCAAAGAAAACAGAAAAAGTGATGGCAAGATTCGTTGGACTCGTTGTCAAAATGATTTAAAACTTATATTTAATAAGCTCCGTTCTACAAACAAGATTAAAAACGCTTGGTCCTCGGAGCAAAAGCGACTCGCACGTAAAGAATATATGTCTCGAATTACCTCCTTTAAAAATGACGATAATCATAAAGTCGGAACCACTGAGATCATCCCTGTTTTCACGTCTACGGCCGCTCTTCCTCCAACGCTTCAAACAAATTTTCATCCGGGATTTAAACAACCTGATAAGATGCGACCCGTCTTTTGATTCTAGACCAAAATGCATCTTTCTTTTTTTCTTTCCTATTTATTTCATTATATATAGTTGTTTTACGTTTTATCACTTGCACTTTACATTTGTTTCCTTCATAGATTCCCATTTTCATCATCATTTTTTTCTTTTTGTAACATTTTCCTGCTTTGAAAAATAAAAATAAAAAAATTTAAAAAAGGTCAAACATGAAATAAAATTTTGGCGAACCTTAAAAGATGAATCATTCTAGAAATACACAAACATGAACGATCCGATTCACCACAAGTATTACAGACTGGAATTTCTACATTAGTATTAGCAAATTTAGTTGCTCAATACATTTTAGGTTATAAAACAACCCATTATTTGCCAAATGAATATTATCATTATCTTTCATTCATAATGGAGCCGATCACAAGGATCCTTATGTTACCCTGCATAAAAGGTTTATTGTATCACGATTATGCGTCATTGTTAGATTATCAAACAAACATCTTTTCATTCATTCAACTAAAGTCTATTTTTGATAAGTTTGAATGATGAATCTGATTGTTTAAAAATTTAAGAATAAAATGACCCCAAATAAAGTAATTAAAGAAGAGTCGAACGTAAAGCGTTCAAAGAATTTTAATCGTTATAAATAGTATGCAAACTGATAAAATTTCAAAATTGTTTTTTCTGTCGCTAAAGTGAAAATTAAACCTAGACTTCTCTATTCAATTACTTGCTTCTCATTCCGAACAGCAACAGAAAGCTATAAAATATGACAGACAACGACAGCAGCCAAAGGACAAAGAAATTTGTGTAAATGATTTCTAATAAAAAGAAGCACTCGAAACCTCTAACGTTAACTTTAGAGAAATTGAATTGAAAATTTAAATATGGAAGAGATAAAATTTTATTAATTTTATTGCAAATGCTGGCTGGCTTGGTCGGCTAAAGATCAGCAGGAATTATTTCCCTGTTTGATACAAGAGACAAATTCTTTTCTTTGGCTATATTCTTTGAATCAGAGTCGATGCCTTTTTTTTTTTTTTTTTTTTATATATATTATCTATATTATATGATGACAATTTTTATTTATATTTTTGCTTTGTTGATTTTTACATTTACATTCTTACGGGAAAAAATTTCATTCCCAGACTTGTTTTACTTTTTAGGTTAAATCCATCTCTATAATCTTTACATTTAAATTAATAAATAATTTTTCTCTGATGATAAACAAATTTTGAAAGTCTTGGAACATTTAATTTGGTAAAAATGTCGCATGATTTAAAAGAAAAAGGAAAAACAAATGCACAAGTTGCGCCACCCTATTTTGAATGGATTTTCTTTTACCAATCGAATCGAAGACACTCGAGTCATTGGAAAAAAAAAAAAAAAAAACAATTTAGAATTCAGTCATGTGCATCAAATGCATCACATTCTAAATTGTGCCATTGTTAAAGTTTCCTCATTCAGAGTTATTTGTTTATTTTAATGAATCTCGATCGATGAATGAGCAATTTAAAGGGTACAATTGAAAGAAGTACCAATGAAGGAGGGGTATGACTTTTCTATTTTCTTCTTTCCTTCTTTCTTTTTTTTTTTTTTTTTTTTGCAATTTGATAAATGTTTCAGGTTTGTACCATTAGCAAATACAAGAAAATGACGTTATATCTTTGATTGTTTCATTGCCTTTTAGGATCTAAAATTATTATAAAAACGCGCGCTTTCCCACACTTTCCAAAATTCTTCCCACAATTCTTCTCACACTACTTCACATACTTTTCCCTTCGCTCCTTGAAAATACCCAAGAATTTTTTAAAATTATTTTCATATTTTTAATTATTCCCATCACTTTTTTAACATTATTTATCTATTCCATTTTTTAATCATCTAATATTTTAATACCTGTCGACTATACCCAAATTATTTTCTTCTTTTATTCATTTCGATCTTTTTTTCTGTTCTTAAAATCAAAATTTTTGGAGAGAATGAAAACTACCTATACCCAAGAAATCAATAAAATCATCAAGGATCGCGAAAAGTCAAATTGTACTTGGAAGGACATTGCTACTGAGCTAAATGAGCTTTATCCTAGAGCGAATCCTTATATTGCAAAGCTGGTCAAACAACATTATGTAGAAAATCTTAAAAATAAACATGTTGAAGGTCCCTTAAGTGACAAAGAGAAAAGAATCATTGATGAGTTGGGTAAACATCAACTCCAATTTTCTCCCACAAAATTAGTGACCGAGTTGCAAAAGAGAACTGGTAAATTACGGAACTTAACCATCATCAAGAATTATTGGTACCCCAAAAAAATTAAAGAACAAAAATTGGCTCAAGCTGAAATAGATCAAAGAAAGTTTGCTGCTGAAATCACCGAATATTCAACCGTTAATATCGATAATATACCAGCCCCACCTGTATTGCAACCTATGCATCACCCAGCCCCACCTAATTTATTGCAACCTATGCATCACCCAGCCCCACCTGACGTATTGCAACCCATGCATCAACCACAATTTACTTTTCCGGACTTGACATTATTTGAACGTGATAGAAAATAACCCCAACAAATTTCTAGATATATCAGGAATATATCCTCTGAAATCTTTTTTTTTTTTCCTCTTAAATATTTTAATTTATAAAAACAAAAAAAGTAAAAAAAAAGTTAAAAAATTATATTAAAAAAAAAATTTTATTTTATATTTTATGTAATAATTTATTTTTTTTATTTCATTTTTAACATTAATTAATGCAAATATATTCATTGTCTATTATACGAATTGTAATGTATTTTAGAACCCGAAAAAAAGATACCTTATTGATAGTTTAATTTCGCTTTTTTTTTTTTTTTTTTTAATAATCTAATCTCTACTGGCTAAAATTTTAAACATGTATCCTCTGAATTTTTTTCTTTTAAAAAAATCATAATAAAAAAAGAATATTTAAAATTTTATGTAATAATTTATTTTTTTTTTAAATTATTATCATTAATAAATTTTTTTTATAAGCACGTATTATTATATTAATGTATTAATGTCCTTCTATACAAGTAGTAATGCATTTTAAAAAATTAAAAATTGACTAAATAATAAATATACAATCTCATAGTCCATGTCTGAATAAAATTTTCCTCTGTGTTTTCACTATCGTTTTGTTCCATGCGATTGGAGACGCTTTTAGCAAGAAAAAACAAAATCGAACATTATCTACCATTTCACGGCTAAAGGATTCGTAAGGTTCGTTTCAACAGCATGATATCGAGTGCGTAATAATGATTTGGATTTTTCACTATTAATTCCATCAAGCCATTCACTACAAAATACCAAAAAAAAAAAAAGGGTCAGTTCTAACTGATATAATCACCACTTTCTAAAATATCACCTCCAAATACAATTTCAAAGCCTTACTTGTAAAGGTTTAATACGACATCATTCTTTTCGGGTGAAACGGAATTAACGTTACGGTAAATATTATTAACATGTAATATCCAATCCTTTATGGGAATATTTTCATTTGGCTTTAATTGACCACCACCATTTATACAACCAGATGGACAAGCCATAACTTCAACATAATGATATGGTGAATTACTATTTTTAATCTTTCGAACAAGGTTTTGTATATTTCTAAACCCATACGCTGATGCAAACTTCAATACAGGTTTTCCGTCAATCTAATGAAACCGAATTTTTTAGCGGATTTCAGCGAAAAACTCAAAACATCATTTTTCGAAACAAAATTATTTTTTGTCAGAACTTTACCTCAAGAGTGACCTCTTTAAAATCTTTATTACGGCCAGTTTTAACCATAACACCTCGTTCACCTTCAACATCAACATCAGTAACTTTAAATAATTCACGAGCGGCATATTCAAGAATAAATTCTAAATAGCCTCCTGATGCACTTCCGGAAGATCTCAAAAGTTCCCCTTGTTGTGAAGTTTTAGTAAAAGTATCTAATGAAGTTTCTTCACTCGTCATAATATCAAAATGACTCTCTTCAAACATTTTGACAACTTCACCTGATGTTATTACACAATCAACATCTCTTGTTTGATAATAATCATTAAAGAAATCATTTCTTGATGCTTCTAATTTTTTATCATAACACATCATGACACCAACATGATATATATTATTAGGTTTAATCCCTAACTTATTTCCCAAGTAATCCTTAACAACGGAACCCATAATTTGTTGTGGTGATTTAGTTTGACTAATGTAAGGTAAAATAAATCCATGAGTTTTTTCAGCATAACAAATCCAACCGGGACAAGACGAAGCTAGCATTGGTAGCTTAGCATCATTCATCGCGTGATCACGCCCCCCTGATGTTCCATTACGTTTTGCTTTTGATGATTTGATATCGTTACCCGCCGTGAATTGCTGTTGCTCTTCTTGATAAACTCGATATCTCTCTACAAATTCACGAGCACTTTCTAATAATGAAAAGTCTCGTGAAAACGAAGTATCAAATACATGATGAACTCCAAGCGTTTTAAAGAAATACGTTAACCTTTTAGCTACCTAATTTTTTTTTTATAAAAACAAAGTTTAAGATCATTAGTCTAAAAACGATTAAAAAAATATATATATATATATATTTTAATGCTTTAGTTGTCTTTTACCTGTAATGGGGTTAAATTGTATTTGGCAGCAATCGAAACAACAGATTGAGGAGCTATTGAAACAACAATAGTCTTTACTTGATCAGCCTTATTCTGTTCTATTGCTTCCTTATTTGATTTTAATACATTATATAGTTCTTCTTGAGACTGCATTGTTATAAGGACACTTTCCGCCGATGTAATACATCCACTTCAATGATATTATAACGAAAGTTAAAGGACGGTTCAAAATAAATTAAATGAAAGTCAAAGTCCAAATACCTGCATGCTAAACAATCGTCAAGAGTGATACTGGCGGTTTGTAGTTTAGTTTCAACGCCGTCCAGAGAAACTTCATAATAACCACCAGAATTATCAACTTTAATCACATTCTATTAAAAAGAAAGTTAGTTGCAAAGTTGAAAAGTAGGAATCAAGGGTAATAACTTTAAAGGTAATTGGACTTTACACTTTTGCTGTCAGTTGACGTTTTATTGACTTCAACAGGTTTAATACAAGCTTGTGAGGGAGCAATATAATCGTTAAGATCCTTTAGTAAAACGGACATGATTAAAAGAGAAACGCCAATTAAACAAAGAAAAATTCCTAGATTATTTTTTAGTAATTTTGATTGGTAAATTGTCGCACTTTGATTGGATATAAAATCTTAGCATATTGGCTTTTTAAAAAAAAAAAAGATAAGGCCAGACCATTTTTGATAAGGCTGGGTAAAAAAAAATGACGCCAATAACCATTCTTTAGATAAGGCGAATTATTTTCGGTGAATCGTGATACGAATTTTTATATCTGTTTATAAACTAGGAAACGGGGACGTTGTGAGTCCTGAACGAATTAACGAATTATTGGACGAAAATCACGTGGCGGACGGAGAAACGCTCACATGACCAAATTTTTAATCAATGCACAAAAATATATAGTCCTTCGCTTCGCTCAGGACAATAAATAAATCAATAAAAACATATATAATTATTAAATCTTTTATAAATTACTCATGAATTAATTTATTTTCTCTTTTCTCTATTAAATAGTGTGTAACAGTTCTCTTGGATGAAAATTATTGAGCTATCTAAGACTGGTCCTATTTTTATGACGCCGTTTACGTCGTGGTTTGAAACGACAATTTATATGTTTTGAATGTTGAGTGTAATTTAAATATGTACAACGTCATAACAAAACTTCTAGATTTCTGAACTTTAAAAAGGTTTAACTAATATTACTGCGACTTAAAGAGTAGCTTTCGTCTTCATGATGTGGATAAAATTAGCTCAGTAGTAAAAATTTTAGATTATTATTAGTACTATTTTGAAATATATAATAAAATTTGGTCATTTGATGTCATTTCAAATCACTTTGATCGTCCGATAATTATAGTTACGATCGAGTATGGCTTTTATGCTAAGCAAAAACCTGCAAATGTGATAGATGAAGAGGAAAGGATAAATACATGATTTGTGTTAAGATCTTGCTTTGAAATTAAATCATGTATAGGAGTACACTTGTTTGTTCTCTAAGGAATTAAAAATATTTTAAGGGTTCACATAAAGCTCACGTAATATCAATAGTAAACAAAAATATTATAAACTTCTTTTCGTTCGCTCAAAGGGTCGTCACAGCATATTTGAAGAACCACACGTGTTATAATAATTATAATTGTTCGAAACCTTAATTATGCGTTACATTATCATTCTCGGAAAAATATCTTTACACATTCCTAAAAGGAAAACTACATATAATACAAACTTCTCTTTATCAAAGCAAAATAAATTTGGATTATTATCGTGAAACTATGCACAAACATCACTTTTGTTCTTTCATTAATGATTGAAATTAAACGTAATACACATACAAAAATAGAGCTGCGGTGTAAAAAGATTTTTATTCGTTGCTGCTAATGAATAAACACAAGAAATTTTTATAATGTCTTTTGAAAGAATGTCGTGATTCTCGAATTAAAAAAAGTTACTTTTATGATTACCTTGTGAGGAAATTTTAATCATTAGAAAAGTCTTGGGTCAGACAAAAATTTGTTTCAAATTATAAATAATTGCATGAAATTGTTATACGATTATCCTAATTTGGAAATTGCGTAACAAAACTCGCTATTGGATTGACCACAAATACAGACAAAATTTTTACATTGTTATTTTTTTTGGAAGGAACCATAAATATAAAAATGAAGTCAGATAGAAAAAAAATTATATAAGCCAGTTTTTTTCTCGAAATCAAAAAAAAAAAAAAAATCAGAAAATAAAAATGGAAAGGTTTAGGGCCAATGATCGAGTATGTAAAACTTCTTTTTTTTTTTTATTTATATCAAAAATAAATTCATATTTTTTCTTTTTTTTTTTTGTTTTTTTTTTTAGATTGATAAAATTATTATACAGGGGATGAGGGATTTTGGTCATCTTAACAACCCCTATGCAAAAATTGCTAAGTTAATTCCTCAATATAGTTCAAATCAAATACGCAATCGGTAAGAAATGTAAATCTATCACAAAATGTCACCTCATTATCGTAATGAAATACTATTTGTCACTTTTATATATCACGCAATAGGCTGGGTTAATATTTAATCTAGTTAAAAAAAAATAATTATTATCATTATCATTATTATTATTTAAATAAAAATGACTTATTTTATTATTTATTTTTTTTATTATAAATGTTAGTTATATAAACTATCTAGATCCCGAGCGTAAGTATATTATTATCTTTTTAAATTACCTTATTTAACATGAAATAATTCTTTCATTCTCTCTATTAAATAGTGTGTTCGGATCCTCTAGATGAAAATGCAAAGCTCTTTGTTAAAGATTGGGTTTTATCTAAGGCTGCGCCTATATTGTGGAGTCGTCTACGTCATGCTTTGAAAAACCATACCAATAATTTATGGTCAGAGAATGACCTAAAAAATTATTGTTATTCAAGAGAAGG